AAAAACGATTTTGTTGTTAGTAGCCATATAATCTAAGGAATATTACATTTAAGTAATTTACAACTGCATTTACCACATTATTATTGTATGGTTACAATTAAACATTATCCAGAATTCTGTAGGGTCTTGTGCATGAGAGGAGGCCCATGGGGAGGAGGTTGGCACCGTGAGTCCCACACTGGGTGACCTCAACCCTAGTGACATCCCTGGGCAGAGAAGCCCAGGTCCCATGGTGGAGAATTCAACTTCCTCGTTAGGCACGTTCTCTGCCAGGGTGGGCGTTTAAATGCTGCCGCGAGTGAAGACAGCCAAGAACATCCTTCACGGAGCTCTCCCTGGGTCACGTTTAAGAGTATAGATTGCATTTTTTAAATTGCAAGCCACGTTTCTGACGACCTTGCATAAGACATTTGGTGCCCTGGTGGGGAATAATTACCCTTTGGGCCACCAACCACAAAGTCAACAGTTCTAAACTATCAGGCACTCTGCAGGCAAAAGATGGGCTTTCTACTCCTGTAAAACGCTGCAGTCACAGAACCCTACAGGGGCAGTTCTACCCCGTCGTGTAGGGTCACTATGAGTCAGCATTGATGCCATGGCATTAGATTTACATGGACTTTTATAAGGATAAATACATTTGTCTAAGGGCCTTCAACAATAACAACAACAATGTGGATTCCTGGACAAAAGCCATGCTTTTTTGTTTATTCAATGCTTCTTTTATGAAAAAAAATTAAACTCACACCAACGCGAGGGATCCACATCATGAACTGCCCCACATGCCTGGCCCCAGATCCTCCGGCCGTCACGACCTGTCACAGTGGCTTTACTCTTTTTGGCTTTTTCTTCTTGACTTTCTTCTTGGTTTCTAGAGCTTCTAAAGTCAAATTCTAGACCTCATTGTCATTTTTTTCATAGCCACGTTTACCAGGGCTCCCTTTTTGAAATGGACCTTTTGATTTCTTTGTATGATCCAAGTTCTAGTCCCAACGCAGATTTCCTCAGCATAAATCATGTCTTTGTACTTTGGGTTTTGTTTGAATCCAGATGCCAACAAGGTCTATGCCCTGCATTTGTCTCCTGTGATCAAGAACAGGGTCTAGTTGAGGCTGTCTGTCTGTAAAGGCTCACGACCACAGGAGCCTGACCTAGGGTGGCTCTCAGTCAGAATGGACTTGGTGGCAGTGGCTTTGGTCATGGGTGTTATTGACATGCTGCAGGAACTGGGTCGGCTGAGCTGTAGCACTTGTGTTCTGGATTTGTCTCTTTGCTTCTTCATCCTGCACATTTCTGATTAGCTGGAGGTTCGCTTCCACTAACACTTTCACATGTACATCACCCCACATCACCCCATGTGATTCTCAGAGAGTCCCTTTCCAACTTGATTCACTTACAACTTAATGAGAGTGAGGTTCACTTTTGCTTTCCTTTTGGCAAGACTGCTTTGTAGCTGGTGTGAGGACTCCTTTAGGGCAAGACCTGTCGTGCATCCGACAACACAGCAGCTCCACTCTTACTGATGGTGACATTGACTAGTGGATACAAGGACTCTCTGCCCAATGGCTCCATTGGGGAGTTCCCTCCTAAGTCTACATCTAACAGGTCATGCCAGCACTACTCAACCAGGGGTTACACATGGTGATTTGCTGATTCTATAATTTCTTAGTGGAGCCCTGGTGGTATAGTTAGTTATACACTGGGCTGCGACCCATAAGGTCCACAGTTCAAAACTACCAGCAGCTCCTTGGGAGAAAGACTGGGCTTTCAACTCCTGTAAGTGTTTAGTCTCAGAAATCCACCGGGCCTCACTATGAGTCAGCATTGTCTTGGTGACAGTCAGTGAGATAATTTCTTATTCACTGATTAGCTGGAATTCCATTGTAAAAAAAATTGGCCCTTGGGCTATTTGATTACCATGAAATATAGTTCGTCGAGGAAAATCAAGATAAATGATTAATTCTTCCCTGTAATTCTCAATTACCCAGATAGCTATTACAATACTGAACAAATTATAACACCGCATGTTATTTTCTAATTCATCTTGTCTACTTCTTGCTGCTTCTAAAATGAAAACGCTGGTGAGATGAAGGATTGCTTACAGCAAAATGAATTACAGGCTTTCTCATCCACAATACAGATTCGTAGAACTGTGAGGATCCCAGCAGTCTCCTGTTTGAACCCCTGAATTGTGTAAGCGAGGAAAGAGCAGCCTGAGGCTATTCGAATGTGGCCAGTTTGGGCTTGTGCTGAGTTGGGAACTCAGATCTGACACCTCCCAGTGTGTCCCCTGGGGCAGCAGCTTCGCTGATGCTGCTTGTGGGAAGACTCTTGTGTTCCATTATGGCTAGGCATGAGGGGCGTTTTCAAAGCGTATGTTGACCTCGTATATGCAATGTGGATTACCAGATGGATCCTCAGTGTGCCAGGGCTGACTTTTAAGCAAGGAGTTGCTTAATGATGTTAATTACTTTTCTACCCAAGCAGAATTTTCCAGGGTTTGCGCTGGAGTACAAAAACTGCAGTTCACTTTAGAAGGTAAAGCCAAAATGCTCTGTTCTGTGTCCATATCCCTACAATGCAATCAAGAAGGAAGGAGACTTTCTTGTGATGGGGATAGAAAAATTGCAAGGATGTAAGGGGAGGGCCACACAGCGGATCAATGTCATTACTGTCAGTAAGTCGTTTTCCCGTAAAAAGTTGAACTGGTAAAAGCTGTGGGGTAGACATGTACAGCAACAGAAGGGAGGTGGCTGGGCCTGCATGTATAAACATCGGACTTAGTCCCTTTGCTCGGAGATTCTGGAGCTGAGTTCATGGCACATCTCAGTTAGCTGGCTTCCTATCGTGCTTAGTGTTTCTGTTCCACCTTCTAGTTTGCTGGGTAGTGTCGGTAGCCTGGAAGCTTGTGCACGAGCCGCCATCCAAGGCTCAACAGTTGGTCTCGATTCACCCGGAGCAAGAGAAGGAGAGTCTTCAGACTTGCCTCCAGACAAGAAATTCTTGCGACTGTTACTGAACATCTTGGTCAAAGAGTCTATAAAGAATCTTGATCCAAAAGGAGAAAGTGCAGAACAAAACTTCAAATTCTCGGGGACTCTAAATTTTCTGGCCCTGCAATAAGCTTTAAGCCTTCAATAAGAAACATCGGCTGACGTTTTCTTAGAGCCAAACAGCGGTTTCATCGGTAAAGAATGTCTGCCTTGAGCACTGTGGTCTTTCGACAAGAGTGATTCGGAACGTTAGCTGGGACCCTGAGGGCTGGGTGAGTTTGTGGAATGGCAGGGGAACAAGCTGGAAAAGCCGTGAAATGGTTGCCTACCTTGAAGTACATCATCTAAATCCCTGCGTTGTACATGCAGAAATGATTGACTTGGTAGGTGCTTTCCCGTTACTGCTGTCCACAGCCACAACAAAAATGAAACCTGTTACAAAAAGCGTGCTGGTACATGGTCCTGTGCTCTAAAGCCTACCTGGAGAGGTCAGAGGAACACTTGAAACCAGACAGGCAGAGCCCAGGCCTCAGTAGCAAAAGTTTCCTTCCTGGTCCATCTGTGTCCAAGGCCAAGGGAACGGGCAGGTAGGAACCCCGCGAGCCCACGCTGCGTAGGAGCTCGGTGAACACTTGAGCAGAGGAGGAGTTTCGAGCCTGAAAGGACAAGGCGGGAGGAAATGCCAAAGGGACGCAACTGTTGATTGCAGTTGATGAGTCGACGCAAGATCGGGTTTGTTGACTGTAGAACTGTTCACTGGCTCTGTAAACCTTCGCCTCATTCACAGTAAGAAATAAAAGAAGACTACAAAGGCATGGGGGGTGTATATCAGAGTCATTCCCTATTGGAGTGAAAGTTAAGGGGCCTGGAGTCAAGCTGAAGGTGGCCGGAAATATCCAAACGCGAAGTGGGCCCTTTCATCCCATCCGGTGTGGCATAGCACTGGGAACCAGCAGCTGCCCGTCCTGGGGGTGCCGGGCAGCCAGTCCGGCTCTCATGTCATCTGCCATCTCTGGCCTGGAAAGACTGGGCCCCGCAGTGGCCCAGAGCTCTTGAGTCTCTTTCCTTAAAATAAGCATTGGAACCGTTGGGAATTACACTCTCTGGTCCGGAGGAGCCCGCAGGACCCATCTCACCCATGGCCCACATTTCATCAACCAGGAAACCAGGACCCAGAGGAGAGAGGGCCTGCCCAGGGCCACACAGACTGGGTGGGAGCTCGGGGTGGGGCGTGAGAATGTGAAAGGAGAGGAGGGAGCCTGCTCAGCCTCTATGCCCCCCAATGTCTTCCAGGGATGTTTCCTGGTTGGCACCTGAGCTATGTCGACGTGAAGGACAACTCCCGAGATGAGACCTTCCGCTTCCAATGTGACTGCTGGCTCTCCAGGAGTGAGGGCGACAGGCAGATACTGCGGGACTTTGCCTGTGCCAACAACGAGATCCAGGACGAGCTGGAGGAGACCAGTATGTGGAAGGGGGCAGGTGGAGGTGGGGTGGGGCGGAGCAACCCTCTTGTGATGCCCGACCTGAGTCTTCAGAGTCAGATGGGAGTCAGCCCTGGGGTGGGGGTAGTACTGTTATGGGAGCTCATGGTCAGAGCTGGAGAGGGGTCAGCTGCCCAAGGAAAGGGCTGCCATTGAGGAGCTGCTTGGCGAACCTGGAAGGTGCTGCCTAGATGCAAATGGCAGCTCATGGTCCTGAATGACAGGGACTAATTAGGTAGCAGGAAAACCCACCCTTAAAGTCTGGCCTGGGCCGGGCTGGGCAGGTTGACATGAAGTCTGCTCCGGTTATTTCTATCCTGGACTCCATCCAGTTGCTAGCTGTGGCAGCAGCTGCCACGTCAAGTCTTTCTGGAAGCAGAATGTGCAGGGAGCCAGCTTCTCCAGCAGCCACTCACTCTGTGGTCCCTTCCTCGGGTGCTATTTGAAGGGAAAGAGTCGTAGCCCCCGAAGGTAGATGACCACAAAGACCAGGGTTTAATACAGAGGCCAGGGTGTGGGTCCAGCAAGCTCAAAGAAGGCAGAGCCTTCCCAGAGGCAGAGCCTGCTGCCAAGCAGGGGTTCTCCGACCTTGGCTGTTCTCGGAACTCGAGCTGCAGTAAGAGACGAACCTCGCAATCGCAGTGGCTCAGCACCAGGAGCTTTGCTTCTCACTCAGGCCGTCAACAGCCCAGTGGCCGTGTTTGGAGTTTGCAGGTCTTCCATGTGGTAACTCGGGGACCCAACTTTCGTTGCCTTGTGGGTCGCTGCCGGCCGTTGTCAACACGTGGCTTCCAAGTTTCTTGGGGAGGGGCCAAGTGAGCGCGGACAAGACCCATACTCCCTTCGTAACACATGAGCTCCGGACAAGACCCATACTCCCTTCGTAACACATGAGCTCGCATTCCATTGGTGAGCACTAGCCCTGGGACTCCATGTAGCTGCAAGGGCAGCTGGGAAATGTAGTCCCTGGCTAGACAGTCCTACAGCATGGGGAGGAAGCATGGAGCCTCCCCTCTTCCACACCACCCAAATGAGCTGATGTCAGCTGCTCGGTGAGGTCGTGAGCTCCGATGCCCCCCAGCATGCAAACAAGGGCTGAGGGCCCATCTGCCCAGTTTCCTGCCGGGCCCCCTGCCTTGTTGAGAGGTGAGTTGTCTGCCCTTGCATTTGCCAGACGTCACTGGTGCCCAGCCTTATTTGAGGTGTTACACACAGCTCGGTGTCCACTGGTTCATTTGATTGCTTTTGCACCCGCTCTAGTCTCTTTGTAGACCTCCAGGAGCCAGCTTTGTGGAGGCCCCTAGGCAGTCGTGGAGCTGCATGCTGGGGGAACTTCACAGCCTCCGTAGGTAGTTGCTGGTCAGTAAGAGCACAGCAGAGGGAGCACTAGGAGGGGGGCTTGGAGAGGTGAAGGGGATCCCCGTGGCTCCTCGCAGCCCATGGTTCTTTGGCCCTCTGTTGCCAGGCGACCGCACTCTGTCCAATAGGAATTAGAGTTTGAGTCGGGGGCCAGAAATGGAGTTTTAGTATCTCCCAGATTGAGTGGGCGCCCACCTTACCTGGGACTCCCCCGAGGTGGCAATGACACTGAGGGTGGCACCAGGCTGGGAGAGGGGCTGTGTGCCCGAGGAGTTCAAAGCTCTCTTTGAGTCTTGGGCCGGGCCCCCGCCTCACCTCCTTCTCTCAGCACAACATTCCGTTCTACATCCAGGGCCTTGTTTGTCTGTGGGAGCCAGGCCCCAGCATCCTGGAATGCTCACCCCATCTCCTGCTTCCTAGTGGGAGGCGGTGGGCCAGTGGCTGGTGCATGGTCCCAGAGACACCCCCTGCCGCCCCTCCACCCCCATGTTGGTGCAGCAAGGAAGTTGCTACTATCAGTAAAATGGGAACCGCAACCCAACCGGCCCCCTGTATCAAGGCAGAGTCTCTTTGTAGAGCCTTCCCCAGCCCTGGGCTGTGGCCTGAGAGACTGGAAGGACCAGAGCTCCCGCCCGCCCGGTGTGGTGGGCGGTGACTTCCTCCCTGCTGACCCTCTGCCACCTCCTCCGTTCCAGCCTACGAGATCGTCATTGAAACGGGCAACGGCGGCGAAACCAGGGAGAACGTCTGGCTCATCTTGGAGGGCAGGAAGAACCGATCCAAAGAGTTCCTGGTGGAAAACTCCTCCAGACAGAGGGCCTTCAGGAAGTAGGACGCAGGGCCTGATGGGCAGGGGTGGCGGTGGCGGCCGGGGCTCCGGAATGGCTCCTTTGGTGGGGCCAGGGTACCACTTGGGTCTCCGCTCCCACCATGTGCGGGGCCTGGGCTAGCTCCTGGACTGAGCAGGTGCTTCCAGGGCAGGACTGCGGGCCAAGGAGCACATCCATCGCAAGGGTCGTCCCCCCCCACAGACACACAGTGCCAGGCCAGAAGTAAAATCCTCCCCGAGAACAAGCATCCAGAGCATCACAGATATGAGGTGTCACTGAGGGGAAGGAGCGGGAGCCTGCCGATGCTTACAGAAAGTCAAATTAGCAGGCAGACTCGCCATTCCAGTCACCATGGTACTCATGGGAGAACCTCTCCTCCTTCCCCTCTGGCTGCCTCTCAAGGCTCACGTGCCCCATTCATCGCCCTGCTGCCTCCGAACTGCTCATAGAAAGTCTCCTCCCGCCTCCAATCTCACTGTGATTCACATCTCCTCGACTTCAGGACAACTTCTGAGTACTTTAAAGGGATGGGGGAGAGGCGACCGAAGCCCTCCCTGCTAATGAGTCACTTCTCACCCCCACGCCCGTGTCCAAGGACTCCAGGGTTTTCTGACTGTCCCTAGGGGGAGCAGATGGCCAGCCCTTTCTCACCTGGCACCCCTGGTGGGTGCGAACATCCCACCCCATCTACTAACTCCCTTTAGTGGAGTTAGTAGAGAAGAGCAAATTTTGGCTGCCAGGTACCTCTGAGCACCTCAGACTGCCACTTGGGACCAGCGCAGCCTGCCGCCTTTCCCGCCCCTGAGCCCCAATGCCACACAAGCCAGCTTGTTACGGACCTATGCTGGTTGACATCGAACCCCGATTCTGTGCCTCCACGCCCAGGAATCCCATTGCTCTCATTTTGCCAAAGTTGGACCACCTCAGGAAGCACCCCCTCCTTCTGGTCCCCTCCTCCCTCTGTTGTCTGAATCCTGCCACCCACTGCCCCTTCCCCCCTCCCCCCTCCCCCCAGCTCAGGTGCCCCCAGGTCCCGGGCACTCACCTATTCCCACAGCTCCATCTGCCACATGGAATGCCCACATGCTGGACTGGAGGCAGGAGGCTGCCGGGCTTTGTGCCTGCTATGATTATACCTTGCTTTAGAATTAACCGGAGCTCCTCAAGGGCTCCGAGCGCGACCTTGGGTCCCGCTTACATTCTAGCTCTGTTCCTGAGCCCAGGGTGTGGAATGCAGTAGGCACACAATAAATGCTTATTGGTATCATCAGCTCATTGGCCTCATGTATTTCCTGCAGGGGGACTACAGACACGTTTGAGTTTGACAGTGTCTACCTGGGGGACATTGCCTCTCTCTGCGTGGGCCATCTGACCCGGGAGGACCGCTTCATCCCCAAGAGAGAGCTAGTCTGGCATGTGAAGACCATCACCATCACTGAGATGGAGTACGGCAACGTGTATGTGCGGTGGCCCCTGCCCCCACCCACCCCCTCCCCCAGCTCTTGGAAAGGGTCCCTTGCCTGCTCAGCGGGGGAGAAACGGAGGCAGGGTTCACGGAGGCTGTCCCCTGTGAGGCCAAGCCCTTGGATGAGGAGTCTCATGAGACGGGGGAGGAAGAGGCAGGTGCACTGGTATCTGAACGGTTGACTGCCCCTCAGAGAAAGGGACTAGACCAGGTGAGCTCGGGCGCGCCCAGCTCTTTAACCCACAGGTGCTTCCTTAAAAGACACAGAAATTCAGACAGGGCCAGCCTGAAGAGATGTGCCCTTCCATCACGTTCCTAACAAACCTGGTGTGGGCAGAGCAGGGCCTGGAGGCAAGCCGGGGTAAACCCTAAAGCCCACCTGCCTCCTTATCCCCCAGATACTGGGCTTTGCATTTCCCATTCAGGGGCTTTCTGGGGGATTAAGGGTCTTTGTTACCTGAGCAACATAGCCACAGACACCACTTTGTCTAATTAAACCTGCTGGATGGCCGCACTGGATGCTTGGAGAACCCGAAGCTCTGGACGGCGGCAAAGGCTCTGAGAAGGAACCGGAGGAGCAGAGCAAGGGTGGGGAGGCCCAGGAGGGAGGGTGTGCAACCTGCATACTGCAGCAGGCCACCTGTTCTGCTCTGTGCCTGGGGTGCCCCCTTGCCCCCCCGCCCTGCCCCACTAGGTCCCTCAGGGACTGACCCAGCTCGTCTCAGCCTCTTGCACACCCATACCCTGGAACCGTTTCCCTAGAAGGGTGCTAGGGAGCCCTCGAGCCAGGCCAGGTATCATCCGGGAGCAGCATCCAGGAGCCTCCTCCCAGGCAAGGGGGCCCCTCAGCTGTTGGCTCCGGCGCAGACTCTGTCTGAGCAAGCGCCGCGTGTGACTGTAGACGCCTGGATGCCCCCGCTGCCCTCTCTGGACGTGGGTAGGAGGGGTCCTGCCTCTAGGCATCTTTCTCAGGCTGTAACTGCTGTGAGGCTGCTTTCCAATAAAAACCAGCCCTGGAAGAAAAACCAGCCGGGCTGGGCTGCCTGCACCAGTGCTAGGCTGACCGGAGAGCTAGGTGACCACCTCCCTCCCAGCAAGTCAGGGCCAGGCCAGCACTCCTTCCAGTATCATAGCAGGGGAGGGTGGCAGCTGATCCGGCTCCTGTCAACCCCCTACAGGCATTAACATAAAATGAAGTGGAAGGCCTAAAGCGAAATTACCATTTCATTCAGGAAACGTTGCTTGGAAGGGTAGGTAAGGCCTTTTCCAGGCAGTGAGTTTAGGTCAACGGTGGTGGACACTTGAAAGAAGGAGGATGAGGCTGGTTAGGCAACGTGAGGAATGCCACCAATGTTGCCAAGTTGTGCCAGTAGAAGCTGGTGAGAGGGCGTGGCTGTGCAGGTCCAGCAGCATGTAGAAGAGGGAGCAGAGGGGAAGTGTGCCTGCTCTGGAGAAGGGCAGGCCATGTGGCAGTCCCAGGGCAGAGACGGGGGGGTGCAGATGAGGATAGATTCACCCCCAGAGCCCTGCTGGCAACTGGTCTCAGTCCAGGGGAGCTGGTTTTCAGAACCGTGAGATGACCGACTTCCGTGGTTGTAAGCCAATAGCGCACAGCCATAGCTAAAGGCGCCCTGGTACGCAACCCAGTGATGCGTGGCTCTGTTTCTCTCTGCCGACGCTGAAAAGAGGAGGCGTCATGTTTACAGTGCTCAGCTGCTAGGCAAAAGGCTGCGATTCCAACCCACCAAAGGCCTGGCAGTGCACGTCTCTAAAGACCAAGGGCCCTGGACAGCCCATGGGCAGGTCGACTGTCTTACAGTCATTGTGAGCGGAGACCACCGTACAGCTGTGGGCAAAAACCAAACCAGAGCCCCTGCCGTCGCGTCGATGCTGACTCAGCGACAACGCCCCTGAGTGTCTGAGACGGTCGCTGCTGGCAGTGGGGTAGACACGCCAGTCGTTATCCCGGGGAGCTGCGGGTGCTTTCACGGCCATCCACCCAGATCGCAGTCCAGCTCAAAGCCACTGCTCCACCAGGGCGAGTATCCGAGGGAGACCCCTCCAAAAAAACCCCGGAATTGTTTTTTCATCTTCCTCTCTCAAAGCATCTGGTGGGTTTGAACTGTCCACCTTAAAATTAGCCACTCAACTTTAGCCCACTAGGCCACCAGGGCACATTACAGTGTGGTATATGAATCCATAATGCATTTCTAACCACACTAGCCAGAGTTGCATCTCCAAGAATTATAAAGGAATGTAATTTCAGTTCCTATTTTTCAGGAGGCTTTAACAAAAAAAGGTTTTATTGGCATGTAGTCATCCATCATACAACTTAATAGTTCAATCATATTAACTATAAGGATTATGCATTTATCACCACAATCCATTTCAGAACATTTTCTTCTTTCTCAGACTCACTGCCGTTGGCTCCCCATTTCCCACAGCCTCCCCTGCCATACCCTAAGTCTTTAGGGCCTAGGAGATTATTACCCCAGTCATTGTCTCTCTAGATTTACCTCTCCTGGATTTCATATCTAGAAACTCACACAAAACAAAAACTGAAAGCAAACAAAAACAATAATGACAAAATGCCACAGAGAAAACCCTCAATCAAAGAGAAAGCAGAACGTAGAGAAAACTGAAGCAACTTTAAAATGGGTCAAGAGGGAGATCAAATTATAGGACGTTGCATTTTAACCAAACTACACCTCTCATACTGACTCCGCAGTGTTGTCCGTCTGACAGCCGGGCGGTTTATATTCCTGGACTAGACTCGGGAGTCACCAGAGGCGCAATCCATGGAGGGATCCTGCAAATGCATTTGGGCTTCCACCGCCTTCCATAGCCTTCTGCAAACCAGGTGTCACTGTTTAAGCTCTGATACCATCCTCTCCTCTGGATGTCGATTTTATTATTTTCAGTCTTTGGAGCCACACAGGCTGATGTGCTTCTTTCCATGTGGACTTAGTTGATGCCTCACTCAAAATGGCTGCTTGTTTTAAGAGAAAGCTTTAAGACCCCAGGTACTGTATTTCTGATAGCCAGGCACCGTCTGATTTCTCCACCAAACTGCTATAGCACCCATATCTTCAGCAATCTCTTCATGAGGCTGAGTATCAAGTAGGGCCATGTCATGACTACTGATTTTTAGATTAGGGCTATGATTAAGTGTGAGCCCCAAATCCATTAATATATCTATGATTTATATTTGTTTCTGTTTTACTTTAGAGATGTCGCTACCATTTTATAACAACTTAATAGCTCATAGGTAATGAAAATATTTAATATAAGGGAAAATAGTTCATCAAAGGGAACTGTACAATTTATTTTCATAAGGTGATTCTGTTGCTAGTATCACTAATTTAGCAATAGCATAGAAATGAAAACTGCTGGATGTTGTTTACATGAACACTGAATATTGGGAAGAGGGCAAAACTTTACTAATGCTCATTTACAGACACAAAATCACACGTGTCAGACTAACACGTGTCATTGAAAACAGAGAGCATAAAATAGTAAGCATATGGTAGCCCAGGGCACCCTCAAAGCAAGAGATCTGAACCACAGACCAACGGCCACCAATTCCACACGCCAGATCATTTAAGGTAAAGCCCAGGTCACTTAGCAGGGTTTCCATATTGAATCCTGGGGTGGCCTATGAAGGATGTCGTGAGCCTTAAAGGAAAGACTCTGTATCCCAGTTGTCTGTAGTGTGTGGCCCGAGTCAGTAAGGACTGGATAGAATCTAGGTAAAAAGTGTACAATTACGAACATAGTACCAGGCTTTTTCTTCCGTTGGGTTCTATATAAGTATTGTTAAGCATTTTTCCCCCATTGGCATGTTGTGCCGCCCAGTTTACCCACCAACAGAGCATAATCGCTGTCTCTGAGGCAGACATGTCCCCAACTCATGCCTGGACTTGGGCTTCCATTAAGGTTCACGCATCTCTCTTCTAGGAGTGCCTGTTGGGGGATTCCAAGGGTCTCTGTCCAACTGGAGCCTGGGTGTCTCCATGATTTTGACCTCTCGTCCACTTTTGCCCCCTTCCAGGAAGAACTGTATGGGAGCCCTGGTGGCATCGTGGTTACATGTTGGGCTACAAACTGCAAGGCTGGCAGTTTGAAACACCAGCTGCTCGGCGGGAGAAAGGGGGGCGCTTTCTGCGCCCATAGTTTGTCTCAGAAACCCACAGTGGCTGCTCTACCCTGCCCTGTAGGCTTGCTGTGAGTCCGCATCAACCCCGTGGCAGTGCCTCTGACCCAGGACTTTGCTGGAGAAAGACGAGGCTGTCTGCTCCTAGCAGGATGTAAAGTCTCAGAAACCCAACGGGGCCCTTCTACTCTGTCTGAAAGGGTCGCTGGGGCTCCGATTCAACTTGAGGCAGTGCATTGTTGGATCTAAGACCTTCTGCTGAGCTCTTTCTCAAAGCAGTTGGTAGCGGTAGCTGCGCACCGTCTAGTTCTGGGCTCAGGACGTGGAGGCTGCTGTCGGATGGGTCCATTTGTTCGTTGCATTCATTGTTTCTTTATGCCTTTGAATTTCGTTGCTCTTCTATCCTCCACACTGAGAGGGGCGGGGAGGGGTACCGACAGATGCACCTTAGATGGCTGTTTACTGTGTGACGACATAATATGCTCAGTGGGTTGTGTTGTATGCGTGTTTGCCTTTACTTGTGCCGTCACCTCTTTCCAGCGGGAAGAGTTGGTGTATGTCCTTCTACAGCCACAGTCCTGACTCCGCGAATTCCTTCAGTCCCACATTTTGGTGGCTTGATACTTATGCCTATTAGAACATATTTCCTTAGAGCTGCACGAGGGAATCTTTTTTCCTCCCTTAAAAATAATGAATTAAATATGTACCAGATGACTCGGAGCAATTCCCCGGAAGTATTGTAGAGTGAGAAAAGCAAGATACAGCACCCCAGTATTATGTGAGGCCATTTGGTCAGGCAAACACTGACACCCCCCACTTGGCTGTGTGGGGCCAGCGTGCACATGGTTGGGGGAAACGGAGGGAGTGTGGCACTTGCAGCCTCAGCAGTTCACATGGGCTACCTGAGGGGAGGGTGGGAGGCTCAAGTAGGAATGAGAGGGGGAAAGGAGATGGACCCAAGCCACTAGAAAATAACAAGAGTGTATTAAAAGAAGTGCACCTGTGCACTTACATAGAACTATGTGAAGTAGTGAGCATACTTAAAGAATTAAAATGTAAAGGATTTAAATAGGAAGAATGCAGATTTATCTCCCGCTAAGAAATTTCTATAAGAAATTCTTTGCCATTGGGTCAGTGCTGACTCGTAGCGGCCCTCGGGAACAGGGTAGGACTGCCCCTGTGGGTTTGGGAGACTAATTCTGTAGAGGAGCAGAACACCTCATCTTTCTTGTGCAGGGTGGCCGGTGGTTTCGAAGAGCTAATCTTGCAGTTAGTTAGCCCAACACGTAGCCCATGATGACACCAAGGCTCAAGAGATTGTGGTTTATAGCGGCCATCCATATAGAAAGCGAGGCCTGACGATCGATTTTGAAAACCAGCCAGTGACAGCCCTGTGGCTACATTGCTGAACCCTATGATAGGTGGCTCGCCACCAGCTGGGAGCCACCCCATGGCATCTAAGAACAGAAATCCCAATTTACCAAGTGATACAATTGAGAAGAGCAATCTTTAGATGCTTCCCTCCTTAGGCTTCCCCCAGTGACCCTGTAAGACAAGCAGAACGACACCATACGGTTTCCTATCTTTATGGAAGCAGACAGGTGCATTTTTCTTTCTTGGAAAGCCGTGGTGGATTGGAACTGCTAGCCTTCTGGTTAAAAGCCAAATACTCAACCATTGCTCACTGCCATTGAGTTGACTCATAGTGACCCTACCTAGGGGTATACTCCTTCCAGGAGTAGAGAGCCTCATCTTTGTCCCATGGAGCAGCTGGTAGTTTTGAACTATTGACCTTGTGGCTAGCAGGCCAACCCTTACCTGACAGGGCTTCAAAAGAAATAGGCCCTGTGAACAAGATTTCCCACCTGGGGTTCAATTGGAAATAGGCTTTGGCTCCACACTGATGGGCACACCCTTTGGGTGCTGCATCCAAAGCCATTAAGCAGTGCCACATGACTTATTTGCAAAGCTCTCAGAAGATGAGCCATTCAGCGTGAGAAGCTCATATATGTCCAAACCTCTAGTGTTGCCAGTGGGGAGACCAAAGCCCAGAGAGGGAGTGTGTCTTCCCAGGGGTCACACTGGTGGTGGGTGACAGGAATGCAGCCAGACCCCAGGCCCCCTTGCACTGTCCTCCTGTTGTGCCTTCTGACAGCCTTCTTGGAAATTGTGGAACTCACTGTCATGTTTCTATTGGACTCTGTCACCGGGATTCTGTAACTGCTTCCAAAGGTGACACACACACACCCCTTCAAACACCCCCCCCCAAAAAAAACCCTGCCATTGAGCCCATTCCAGTTTATAGTAGCCCTATATAGGACCGGGTAGAACTGCTCCTTAGGGTTTCTGAGATTGTAAATCTTGATAGCACACAGCCTCGCCTTTCTCCCGAGGAGCGGCTGGTGGGTTTGAACCTCTGACCCTGACAGTAGCAGCCCAGGAGATCCTCGATGATGGCAGCACTGGGCAAACACACAGGGGGCAAAGGGATGACTATGCCTAGAGTGGAGTAAGCTTGGGGAGCCAAAACAAGCCAGACCGTGTGGAGTCTCCAAGGCCATGGTGAGGTGTTGGGCTCTGGCCTGACCTGGCAGGTCACGGGAGGGTCTCTGAGGAAGACTGACACCCTCTGGTGCTCATCTCAGCAGGCTGGCGTGGGTCCTATGTAGAGAGTAGATCACAGGTACCAAGAGACAGGGCGACCACTTTGGAGGCTTATGACCCATGCAGGTTGCCAGTGAAGGTGAGTTGGACAAGAGAGGTAACAGTGTAGGTAATGAGCTGCTGAATGCTTTTTTGCCTAGGCCGGTGCTGCATGTATTTTAAAGAATCCAGAGGGTTGGCTGCCAGATGGAATATGGAGTGTGAAGGGGAAAAAATAAAAGAAGAACCCAGGAGCAACTAGAGGGATGAAATGAAGGCTCCACTCCACTGTGAAGTTTCAGACAAACAAGGCCCCATGCTCCCATTTAATTAGAAGATTCCTGGCCCCGATATCCAGTTATGCCTGGAGCAAAAACACCAAGGGACCCTGGTGGCATAGTGGTTCTGCATTGGGCTGCTGACTACAAGGTCCGCAGTTCAAAACCATCCGTCGCTCCTCAGGAGAAAGATGGGGCTCTCTACTCCCGTGGAGAGTTACAGTCTTGGAAACACACAGGGGCAGTTCTACCCTGTCCTAGAGGGTCGCGGCGAGTCAGCATCCACTCCATGGCAGTGAGTTTTTGGTGGAGAAAAACACCCATCTCTGAATGACTGGGAGATCCTGTGACAAGGATGCTGCCTTCAACAGGGGTCCACTGAGCCCTGCCCTCCCCTTCTCCTCCTTGCAGGTACTTCTTTAACTGTGACACCCTCATCCCACTCAAGAGGAAGAGGAAATACTTCAAGGTGTTTGAGGTCACCAAGGTGACGGAGAGCTTCGCCAGCAAGGTGCAGAGCCTGGTGCCCGTCAAGTACGAGGTCATCGTGACGACCGGCTACGAGCCAGGCGCAGGCACGGATGCCAATGTCTTTGTGACCATCTTCGGGGCCAATGGGGACACGGGCAAGCGAGAGCTGAAGCAGAAGAGGCGCGACCTCTTTGAGCGGGGCAGCACGGACCGCTTCTTCCTGGAGACGCTGGAGCTGGGCGAGCTGCGCAAGGTGCGGGCGGAGCACGACAGCAGCGGCCACTACTCAGGCTGGCTGCTGGAGAAGATGGAGGTCACCAACACCAGCACCGGCGTGGCCACCATCTTCAACTGTGGCCAGTGGCTGGACAGGAAGCGTGGCGACGGGCTCACCTGGAGAGAACTCTTCCCTTCGGTCTGAGACGCCCCGGACCACATCTCAGCCCCACCCCCAGCTTGGCCTTCCCTGGAGCTGGACCTGGGGGCCCGAGGGGGCTTCTGCGACTGACTAGTGATGGGGTCCTGCCTCCCTGCCCCAGGCTTCTGGGCCAACGGGACTCAGAACCAGCATGGTGATACAGGGGGCGACCCGTTGGGCTGCTATGGGAGAACCTGCGGGAGAAAGCGGAGGCCTTCTACGCCCATGAAGACTTACAGTCTTGGAAGCCCACGGGGGGCCGTGCTGCCCCAGCTACTAGCGGGGCTAGGAGTGGGCACGACTCCGGTGGCAATGCTTGGGGTTTGGTGGGTTTGGCCATCCTCCACAGCCCCACTGAGCCTCGGTTACATTGCCTTCTCCAGCCGCGGAGGGGTGGGCAGGCCGGCACTTGCCGGGGGGTGAGCTTGGGAAATCGGGCCTTCACTCAGGGGATGGAGAAGGGCGGAGAAGAGGCCGACAAGATGGTGTATTTTAAGCAAACACTAATTAACACTTTCATTTTCCCAAAAAGCTGGGCTAATTAAGTTATTAGCAACCACCCCCCAGCCAGAACGCACTGAGAAATGTACTCGTCTCCCGGCATCAGTAAGTCCAGTGACACGTGGGGAAAACGGTTTGGCCCGAAGGACTTCCAAGCGAGGGAAAGGGACACCCTTCTTTCCACCGCTTGGCGGAGAACGGTGGCCGGGGGTGGGCAGGTGTGACCACACAGAGGCGCAGGCAGAAGGCACAGGACCACGACGGCTCCTGGGACAGACTCTGGCGTGAGCACTCCTGCAATCAGACTGTTCAGTGCGTCCCTGCTGTGTCTCTGTGGGCAGTGCTGGGACTCAGGCGCAAGAGGTGAATGGGAACAAAATAAAGGCGTGATCTTGGGCCTCAGCACGAGCAGGAGCTGGTGGGAAGACAGCTCAAGAACTGTATGCGTGTGTGCACACCCACATCTACACACGCACATAGGTCCACTCCCTGATCGACGTCACAGGGAAGCTAGCCAACATGCAGAAAGAGCAGCGCGCAGGACCTGACCTCTGGTTTCTCACCAGAGGACGGGCCTGATCAGGAAGGTGAGTCGGGACGAGAAGTTTTCCTACAGCAAGTGTGCTCTGGGGCACCAGCGTTCCTGGGTTATCCGAAGTTCCCGTGGTGGGACCCTGCCCACTCCGCTCCACAGGGAGTCCCCATGAAGTCCATGACCTGAGATGCCCAGGGAGTACTTGGGGGCAACACAGGCCTGGGAGGCAGCTGCTGCATGCTTTGGGGCATGCTGTTTCACTCCCTGGGCCCCAGTGTCCTCATCTGGAAGCAGGAGGAGTGCGAGGGACACCCGGCCCCTAGGTTAGGATGTGGTCGGGAGGAATGCCTGTTGTCTGTGGCCATCGAGCCATTGTGACTTCTGGCAGAGCCCATGGGCTACGTTGCGTGGTCCTGCGGCATCTTCATGGTCACTGGCAGGCATGTCTGGGTCCATGGCTGCAGCCCCTGTGCTCTTGAGGGTCCCCCCTCAGCTTTGCCAGCCCTCTCAACCTGGTTTCCTCTAGAGACTGGGCGCCCCTCATGATGCCTTCACGCTAAAGTGAGTGGGTCTACCAAGGGGGTAATGTTGTAATTCACAGGATTCCCAGTGACTAATTTTTGGAAGTAGATCGCCAGACCGTCCTTGTCAGTCCCTCTTAGTTGAGAAGCCCCAGTAGCAGCTGTCTGCCATGGGTGACTCTCCTGGCATCCGAGATGCTAGGGGCTTGAGCAGCATGCACACCATCATAGTGCGACACCCTGGGGGTGAGGGTGGGCTTAATATGCATATCATATGTTCCTTCCGTGCCTAAGCTGGCTATTGACCATAGATCAGGAGGAAGATGAGCCGTCCTTTGCGACACACCCTGAGGTGGGGACTCCCACCCATCTGCTGCTGGCCTGAGCCCTGCCTCTATTGTATTTATTGTAATAAGGTTTCATCGTGTTTGATTTTAGGTTTAAAGAGTATCTCCAGGTAAGGTCCTGGGAGAGCCCTCCAGTCTTAACTGATCCAGGAAGTCTATTTTGCTGTGCTGGTGGTGGTGGTGCATGAATTGGAGGTTCTGGTCCATGTTTTGCTTTTATTCTGTCCGAGTCCACCTAGTGCAGCCCTGACCAGAACTGTGGGTGGTGGGCGTGGGGCACCATCTAATGGCTTCTGCTCTCCGAGTGGATAAGGCTGTGGTGCATGCAGGCCATTCACCCTAGACTCCTCCTTGAGTCTTCAGCTCCCCCTTTCTGTCTCGCTCTGGACGAGCAGAGACCAATGGTTGCATCTTAGAAGGTGGCTCACAAGTACTCCCAGACACTACTCACCGAACTAGGATGTCGCTCAGTAACTCTGAACCCCATTATGCCGGTTGATGGGGATGCCTCCAAGAAACCAGTCCTCCCAGGTGTTTTGTCATGTCTCCATAACTGTGCCCCTATGTGCTTCTTATCCACTGTGCATACAGTCACACCCACGCACACATGTATACACATATGCACACACATATCCACACGTGCATCTACGAGGATGAGTCAAAAAGAGTTGCAAAAAGTCAGAAACCCTTATCAGACAAAATTTCCCAGAGAAATTGTTTCCAGATGTATCTTCCAGATCGGTCGATATACTTCTGAGGGTGGTGTTTCTGTCTCTCTAACCCATTCCTAAAAGTGCTGGCAGCCTCGAGGGACTCAAATTGTTTTCCTTTTAAGCGGTTTTTGAATTTTGACAACGAAAGGAGGTCAGAAGAAGTAGATGAGGGCTGTTGGTCAGCGGCACTGAGACTCTCCAGCCATCCCTGACCATCGGACAGCCCGGCTGCCCTTCAAGGAGGAATGTTTGCATGGAAAATTCACAATGGAAAAACTCTACGTGTGACTTTCCTGGCCGCCTTCTCACGTTTCCAAGTTTCTTAAAGCTTCATAATAACCCCCATGATCATCCTGTGTCCTTTGAGAACATCTAGCAAGATGACGCCTTGGCATACTCTCCCCAAACATTCTCTGTGACCTTCGGGGCTGACCTCGAGGCTGTGAATGTAGCTGGCCTGCTAGACCCCCTCAGGAGCCACTGTCTTGATTGGACCTTTGGGTTGAAGGCACCCAAAGGAGACTAAGGTGAGTGTGTCTTGGAGAGACCGTGTCCACCCACTGACTGCAGAGGCTTGTTGAGACGCTCTGTTTGCAACCGTCCCGCTGATGTCTGACCGGGGGCCCTAGTAGTAGTCCCTTCCAATGTGCACTCGTATGTGGGCCACACCTCACACACGTGCGCCTGTGCGCATCTGAGAGCGATGCCTTTAATTCCTGCCTCTCACCTGCTAGTCACAGAGCACCCCCACTCCCCTCTTCCTGGAAGAAGCAGAAAGCAAGGCTGGGGCTGGGGTGCAGGAAGCCTAGAGGCACCCGCAGTATGAACTAAAAGAGGTGCCCACACGCGCTCCTGCTCTCATGCTCCTGAGAAGGCGCCTTAACCTTGGCCCTCTGGGCACTTTGCTCCCTTCAGCCAAGTCCTGGCACTCGCAGAAAGATATCCCCTCCCAGACTCCACACAAAGCGGTGAACCCCCAAGTCCTCACGTTGAGACAGGCCCTATCAACCAGCATGAACGTCCTGAACCTACACCTCCCAATCCCAAATTAGTCTCACCCCCTCGGCCCCCGTGGCCCTGTGGGCTTGGCTGGCGAGGTCTGAGAGCCCTGCACAGTGACCTACCACCTCTTCGCGGGCCAAGACCCAGCCTGCTGGGGTGAAGAGAACAAAGGATGGAGGGGTCCCCTTGTCCCCAGCTTTCCTCGCTCCTCCTGCACCTTGTGTGGGAGCTGCTAGTGCCCTCCTCAAGCTCCCTGGGCACCCACAGCTCAGCCACATCGAGTTCTTCCTTGTACGTCAGGGCGTATGTCACTTCCATCTTTCCGTCCCTGAGCGAGAGACTGTCTTAAAGCAGCTTTGGAGAGAAGCACCGCTGTACTGCTTTCGAGTCACCGATAACCAGGTATTTCCAAATAAATATCCCGGGTGTCTGCTTTGGAGACGAGACACAGCTAGCTAGACTCATTCACATCAACACAAGCTATTTACCTACAAACCGTTGCACCGAAGTCGGACAGGGCAGCCGGGCATGTTTGTTCTTCAACAGATTAAACACAGCTTTATGAATTTATTTTCTCAGTTCTTTTCTTCCAATATTATGATAGAAGCCCATGGCGCTGCTGGACCAGGCACAGGCCTTCTGGATCCTGACTGGGTGAGGCCCACGTGGATGAGGTCAGATTGTACAAGCCGTGGCGAAGCACCCGTGGTGTCCTTTCTAAGGACTTCCCGTGGCCCCTTCCTGACTAGACATCCCATTACTACCAGCCCCTTTGGCAGAAGTGACTAGGGAGCCACCCTCCAGCTCAGTCCCAGGAGAGGGTGCCCCGGGTAGTGGTTCAAAACAGGAACTGCCAATGCACGAGTCCAGTCCTTAGCACAATGGTCAGACCAAATGCTGGCTGCTCGCCGAGAGGCCTGCAGGAGAGACTGGGTAGCCTGCTCCCACAAAGATAACAGCCTCAAAGACCCCATGGGGCTGTTCCACTCTGTCCCATGAGCCTCTGGCTCGACGGCACCAGACAACAGGAGCAACAACATTTAGGAAACAGGTTGGTCCATCGCTGTACCACAGATCCTTTGAGACGAAAGAGGTCAGAGAGAGACCTAAAGAAACGATTCCCGGTGGTGTGCTGGTTCCTCGCTGGGAGGAAATCCATAAGGTCAGCAGTTCAAAACCACTAGCTTGCTGCTCCATGGGAGAAAAAGAAGGCTTGGTACTCAAATCAGCATTCAGTCTTGGAAACCCACAGGGCTTTGGAAACCTACCCTGTGCTATAGGGTCGCTCTGAGTCAGCATCAGCTCGATGGCAGTGTTTGTTAGATTTTTTTTTCTTGAAATAAAAGATGAAAAACAAAGTGGAGAAGGGGACTGGATGAAAAAG